ATATATGAATTTATCAGTATATACGTGACTAATAATATAATAAATTCTATGTGACAAATAAATAAATTACTATAAAAAGAGCGTGTCACAGGGTGCTTATTTTCAGGATTATATGGTATTTATACATTTCAAACGTGTATCAATAAGTATACTTTTGATACTATAGTTAGTATAGTAGTAACGAGTATGACAACTGATACTTTTTTAATACAAAATTTTTTGTAGTATGTCGTTGATTAATAAATAATAATTAATGTTTCTTTCTTGATTAATGATATTAATGCTGATTGACATATTTCATATGATTTTTTTTTCTCACGGATTGATGATATTAATGTTCTTACATTGATTAATGATATCATAATAATTAATCGACATATAAACCCTTGATAACATTCAAAAATTTTACACGTTCAAAAATTTCACAGAATTTAAACTTTATCGTTATATATTATTTTTTCATCAAAATGATAAGATCGAAGAAAAATCGTATTAATAAAGATTGTACGAAAGACATTAATATTAATTATAGAACAAGAAAATTGGTTGAATGTAAATATATATTGCATTGTTATGGTAGTAAATGGGTTGATCCCAGAATATTTGAAAGACATTAGCGAGAAATAGATCAGTTTCATGCTATTACTTTTGGATCTCAGGATTCTTCTCAATTAAAGAGTATCAAGAGCAAACCGGTTGATGTAAGAACATCATCATCAAAAAGAAGAAAAAAGCAAAAAGTTAGATCAGAAAAAGTTGGACAAGCTGAAGAAAATCAAACTTCACCAAATAGTTATTCTTTTGATGATGAACCAAATTCAATAACTGATTAGGAGCTGATTGATGTTCCAAAGAAACGAAAGCATTATAATAAGTTTCGTAATATGATTTCTGATCAGAATGTTAAATGCGAATCAGCTCTAACTGAAGAAGATAGTAAAGAAGATAGTGAAGAAGATTTTGACGTAACGATTGATGAGGATTCTACAGAAGATGACAGTCAGAGCTTGAACGAAGATGAGATTCTATTTGAACGATTTACTGCTCCTAATATTGAAGATTTTGAACCAGAAACTGTTGACACTAATAAAATTGATAATTCGTGAATATTATTATGGATTCTCAAATTCCAGTCTAGATTTCGCCTTTCGGATACTGCTATTGATTCATTAATTAAATTTATCTGAATGATTCTAATTGATGAAAATTGCAAAAAGTTTAAAGATTTTTCAAAAAGTGCTTACACAGTGAGAAATTCGTTGGAAATCAGAAAACAAGATAAAACATATGCAGTTTGCTTAAGCTGTAATACATTATATAATGTTACAGAGATTTTAACACAAAATCAAAACAATCAGACATTTACCGGGTTTAAATACACTCACGTTGAATTCCCAAATCATCTGATGCAGAACTAACATAAATCATGTGGGTCAGAATTGCTAATGAAGGTTTCATTATATAATGGATTTATTGGAAGGCTCAAAATGATATTTCCAATGGCATTATTGAAGTTCCAATTAATTACTATGTATCAGTGTCCGGGTTTCGAAGAATCACTTTGAAAGTAGGCAAATCGGGATAGTAAAACTGGCCTATATTTTGATATTTATGACAGAGAAGTATGGAAAACCTTTCTGTTTTCTCTTGACAACCCAAATTCCTGATTTTTTACTCCTGAAATGACTGATTCTAATCTGGGTATAATGATAAATCTCGATTGGTTTCAGCCTTTCGAATCTTCTTTATACAGTACAGGAGTAATTTATAGTGTAATTTGCAACCTTCCATGTGAAGTAAGATTCAGAAAGGAAAATATGCTCATTTTGGGCCTTTTGCCTGGACCTCATGAAGTGAAATTACATAGGATTAATCATTATCTTAATCCTATTGTTAGTGAATTGCTAGAATTTTGAAACAGATATGATTTACTAATTTCAACCAAGTTTCTTAATGAAAAGAGAATAAGACTAGTAGTTATTTGCATCTCAAATGATATACTGGCAGCTAGAAAATTGTGCAGGCATATATCAGTACTGGCTGCATGTCATAGATGCTATAAGACTGCTAATGTTGATGAAAGAAAGTTTAATTTTGGTGGATATGTAGATATGGATACTTGGTTCATATAAAAAGATTTCAATAAACATCAAAGAAATGCCAAAAATTGACGAAAGTGTAAATCAGAAGATGAAAGAAAATGTCATATTTCAACCACATTAGTTCGATGGTCAGAAATGCTGAATTTGCCTTATTTTAACCCAATAACAAATCTTGTTGTCGATCTGATGCACTGCCTTTTCCTCAGAATTACGCATTAGATTGTAAAAGGTTATGGATTGATAGAGATAAAATTAGTAAAGCCAATCTTGAACTAATGGAGAAACGAGCAAAGACCATGAAATTACTCTCTGATTTAAACTGGATTCTATATAAAATTGCGACTGAAGAAGATTTTCTAGCTTTACGGCTGATCAATGAAAAAACTTTATTTTGATATATGCGACTCCATTGATGTGGGATCTTTTGGATGCTTCAGATCGGAAAATTTTGAACAATTTTGTTAGAGTTTGTACATTACTTGTATGTCGAACAATTGATAATGAAGCATTAAATGAAGCTCATTCCTGATTATTGACCGTTGCTCTTTTGATTGAAGAAAATTATGGATCGGAGGCAATAACATCAAATATTCATCTTTCTCTCCATTTAGCCAAATGCTACTGAGATTATAGACCTTTATACTCTTTTTAGTGTTATTCATTCGAAAGAATGAATGGAGTTTTAGGTAAGATTTTATAACGATTAATATTACATATTAAACAATGAAATAATCAATACCTAATATTATTTACAGGTTCCTTACCGAATAGCAAGCAGCAAATCAAACCAGAATTGATGCATATCATCATGCAAAACTGGAGATTAGACGATTTAATTTATAATCAACTAGATAACCTAAAGCTGACCGAAGCACTTAAATTAGTGAAATCTCAGCCAACAGCCAGAAGTTTAGCCTCATATGATGGATTTGATTTTACCAAATTATACCAGTTCATGCAAATCTTCAGACATAATCTTGATGATATCATTACCGGCAACGAGCTGTTTCCTGGAAAAATGCTTCAAAAGAAAGATAATGTGTCTTTATCGAATAATATTTATAAACTATTAGTTCAATATTATAATGCCGCATATAATTAGAAGTTCGTAACAATTGCTAATGCAGCTTCTGATAGACAAATACTAGAAGATTATATTATTGTTTTGCCAAATGTGGATCAGTATAAGCGCGTTCAGATTGGAACCAAAATTTTTGGATCAACAATTGCACCTCGATATTTGAGGAATTCATATATATTGGCAAAATTTATAGAAGACAACGAAACAACAGATACGTTTCCCGGTGAAGTACAGTTTTACTTTACGCATACTATCAAACTTCCAATTAGCACAAAGATGCACTACCTAGCTTTTGTCAAATGGTATTTACTGATACTTGACCAACAAACAAGATTTCATTGCGAAACTAAAGATGATGATGATGAATCGTATAATAATATCGAACTTTGAAAGTATCAATACTATAATATTAATAGAGATAGCATCATTCCTGTTCATAACATATATAGTCGATTTGTGTCAAGTGAATTTATAGTAGGTATACAAAAACTGAAAAAATATATGACAGTTATACCTATTAATAGACAATTTCACTTGTAATAAAGTCAATTAGTAAACTTAATATTCTCTTTATTTAATCGATCAGTAAATTTATTATACGTTTGAATTTTTAAAAGCTCTTTCAGCAATAAAAAACAGTTTGTAAATTTATCTAATATTTGTAATTATTACCTGATTAATCATTATTGAACATATTGTTTAAATTTTTAAAAAAGTGCTCGATTGAGATGATACCTGATTGAACTATATAATATAGATCAAAATAATAGTTTTCAATCAGGATGGTACTTAATTAATACCCGATTTAAATATATACTGAATTCTAACTATTGAACAACTCAGATTTCTGATCAAAAAAAGTGACTAATCGGGAAGGTACCTGATTGATTAGCATTCAACCTGTAATGGCTATTCCAAAAATCCAAAAACCTAAAGCTAATAACTTTGTGTTGATCTTAGAGCAGTTCTAGAAAAGCATAATCTGTTAGCTGACTCCACCCCAGAACAATTAAGCAAACATGCTTCCGAATTTGATGTTTTGCTTTCTGATTAGATAGCCCATAAATGTGTTAAAGTAGCTCTTGCTAAACCTAAATATTCATTTAGTAAAGAAAAAATAGAGGCTCTTCTGCTAGATAAAAGAAAGGGAAAGCTCACTATAAAGGAAAGGGCAAAATACTACATTACAGCCAGCGATGCTATGGATATTTTTACCCATCATCTAGACTTAAGTTCAAAAAATAAAGATAAAAATGAAATAGTTGCCAGTGGCTCACATCAGTCAACATTCCATATGAAGTTAGCAGAAAGTGGTGTAGATCCTGCAATTATTGAAGCATTTGCCAAAGATAAGAAACTTATTTAAGATTTTAACAAAATTTAGAAGAAATGAACTAAGAAACAAATGGCTAATCTGGATAGAATTCCAATATACTTCTCCTTAATGAGGGTGTCTAAAAGGCTTCAGAATATAGATGTATCTAAAATTCCTACTAGAGAGGATCTCGTGAATGTGATAGTGATGTTGAGTATGAGACCTGCAAAAGTAAGATCTCTTCAAATTAATCACTATGAACTGGATCCTTTGAATATTCCAGTATAATATAAAGAAGGCTATTCTTAGTATTGCACAGGTTATTTAAAAAGTAGAGGAGAAAAGAAAAAGAATCCTGATCCTTGACCATTTCTTTCTATGGAGAAGAACTCAGAACGTGTTAGGGAATTACTCACCTAGATCCGGAATGCAATCAAGGCAGGAAAGTTATATGATCCTGTTTATACTGAAAGTGAAACATGTAATGCTTGGCTATTTAATGAATTCTTAAAATAAGAGCTTTATAGAGCTATACTTGAAAAATTAAGGGAATATAGAGCGAAATATGCTTCCAAAATTCATAGTGGTAAGAAATCAACACTTAAACATCTTAAACTGCTTTCAAGAATCGCAATGAGGTAGGAATCAAACCACCTTGATGCAGGAAATAATTATGCTATAAGTGATACAGAATCAGAGGTGTCCAGCTCTGAATCTGACCACAACCCAGAGCTGAGATCAGAGTTTGTGAAAAATGATGAAATTTCTAAAATCATCAATATGTATAGCTACTAACAATGCGCCTTCGGCAAATTTTGTCAGATTCATCACTAATATATGTAATTTTTCCTGAAGGTGCTTTGCTATTTTTTCGTTTAAAGATACAACATATAAACAGAATATTTATAGCGCAATCAAGCATCTTTTATTTACCAGAACTATTAGAACAGATATTACATTTTTTAGCAATAGATAAATCTTTCTACTCCGCTCTATTTGTTAACTGATTTTAGTATAGATGTGCTATTTTTAGCTTATAGAAATATATCAAACTAAAGGAAAATGACCTGAAATATGAGCGCTATTTCCCAGATGGATATACTTATAGTAAAAGAAATCGTACTCAATGGGAAATATTTGTAAAAATAATATGTAAAATGAATAAGCTAGCTCATGTTTTGAATATAACCCATCTAGAAATTACTTATTACCATTCACTTTCGGATAAAAAATAAAAAATATTGCAGATACATTTCTGAATATAATTTATTTAGATTTTAAAAATAGTATAGGTTTTAGTGATAGAGTACTATTTATAATAGTGAAATCATATCCTAATTTAAGATATCTCAATTTGTGGAATGCTTAGGCAATAACTGATAAAGGGTTATATGCAATTGTAAAATCATGCCATAAATTAGAACATCTAAATATTTCTTACTGTAGAAATATTACCAATAAATTTTTGTTTGAAATCGCAGAAAATTGCCATGATATACAAGTGTTTCATTTTGCCGAAACACATCAAATCACAGATAAACCTATAAGTTGCATCTTAAACTCATGCCCAAATTTACAAAACTTGATATTACATATAGTAAGAGGAATGTCAAAGATGCTAATACTTTAATGCAGAGATGTTTCAATATAGAGTATCTCGACTTTTGTGATGCCATGGCTTTATAGGATGATAGATTAATTATAGCTATCATCAAAAGATCTCTAAATTTAAGACATATAGAAATTAGCTGTAATGATATTACTGATAAGATTACTGAAGCGCTAGTTTATACTTACCATAAATTAGAATATCTTGATCTGTGTTGCTGTGATTTTATTAGTGAGCCATCAATTTGTAATATCATACGTTTCTGCTCAAAGCTTCAACATCTCAACCTTAGTTACTGCAATATTACAAGTAAAACTATTGAAGAAATTGCTCGCTTATGTCTTAATTTAAAATCTCTAGATTTGAAAAAATGTGAAAATATTAGCAAAAAAGTCATGGATCAGCTAAATCCAAATATTCATATCAAAAATTTTGATAAAGTTTACTGCTGTTCTGATTCAGAATCTTCTAGCTCTAAAACTAAATCAAAGTCTAAATAATCTAGCTAGTCTAGAGCATATTGAGAGGTGTTTTGCATAATCATTAATTAGATTTTTTTTGCATTACAAGCAGATCACGTAAAATTTTCTTAGTATTTTTTCTGAGACCACGTGGTTCTGAAAATCTGGTAACACCATAACCTATGTCTATTTTTTCTTATATCTGATATATATTATACTAACTTATTTTTGAATATTCAATTTCTTATATAAAATTTATCAATCATAACATCCAAGCTTGAAGTATTGAAACAGCGTATTGTTGAACTTGAAGCTAAGAATGCTGAGCTTGAGGCTGAAAAAGCTAAGCTTCTAAAGCAGATTATGGAGAGGAATATCAGATGTGATGTTAGAGTTGAGAAACTAGTACAAAAAAATAAGGAGCTCGAGACCAAACTTGTGATAGTGGAACGGGCTTCCTTACCAGTAGAAGAACAATCAAATAATGATAATTCTTCTGACAATAGTACATCTAACTTTAATTCAGTTGCGGAGTATCATGAGAAACCATTAGTGGATATGAAAACAGATAATTCCTTTCTTGAAGAGGATTGCTATAATAAACAAGAACTGGTAACAGAGGTGGCTATAGTACCTGTCAACTCTATGAAGCGCTTGCAAAGCGCCTTAATGGCTAATGGCAAATCGTTAGAAGAGAAAGATATGAATAGTTTTTTGCCTAAGGTTCATAAGAAAATCATTAGTAGTAAAATAAAGCAACGCAATAAGGAGAAAAAACTTCTACATGAGTTAGCTAAAAATCAAGTCCTGACTGTTACTTCTGTAGATTCAAAATTATCACATGATAAAAAAACTGTTACCAATGGTAACGATGAAGATTTGAAATTATTACTTAACACAGGTGATAATATCTCTGCTCTATCATCCATTGAAGACAACTTATCATGTAACACAAAAATGATCACTTGTACTAATAGCGAGAATGTCCCATCTGATGAAATATCTGAGCTAATTGCTACACAACCACTTGATAGAAATCAAGTCACTGAACAAATTTTAAAACGTAATCTTTCTAGATCTATTTCTTCAATAGCATCAGTTAAACTACATGATAAGTCTATCTTAAACAATACGATTGAGGACTCTATGCAGAGATTAGCTTATTGGATTGATGAGACTATAAGAGTAGGTCTAAAAGAAATCTTATGTTTGTATCATTATTTCTTTGAGTTTGAAGAAAAAGTAAAAAATATTACAGCTGATAGAAAGACTAAAGATAAGACAACAAGATAGATGATATACAAAGATACAGGAGGGTATAAAAAGTATTGGCCACCTGGTTAATGTAACGCAAAAGTGGCACGTGTCATTATACTTCTGCTGAATCAAGCTATAATTTTCATTTTTAATTGCGCGTGACTGTGTCTAACTAAAAATATAAACAAAATGTCATTGTGATATATAAATAAGGTCATTTGGGTACACGAAAAATTTTTTTACATTATATAGTGAGAAAAAATTTGTCACAACGATGTGTCTTGAAAAAGAACTTAGTAATGTTCAAAAAGGGGGAATTATTGCTACAAAAAAATTAAGCCATTCAAATTCCAGAATCTCCGCAGTTGTTGGTTGCTCTCGTTCCTCTGTTCAACGTATATAGAAGTCATATGAGTTAAAACAACTTCCGAAGAAATGAACAGGTCGACCACAAATCCTTAATGAAGCAAAACGCAAACATCTTAAGCGTTTAGTGGTTAGGAATAAAAAACCCGACGTCAAACCCTCTCCCAAATACGTTAAATGTTATAAATAAAACAAACAAAACTATTTCCAAATAAACTGTCCGTAATGAATTGGTCAAACAAAATCTTCACTCGCGCATTCCTCGCTTTAGTCCATTAATTTCTGAAACTAATAAAAAAAGGCGTTTACTTTGGACTCGTACTTACGAAAATTGGACTGTAGAAGATTTTAAAAAAGTAGTATAGTCAGACGAGTCTACTTACACACAATTTAGAACGTCAGGTTTTGGGCAGGTATAGCGTAAATCTTCAGAAGAATTTCACGAAGACTGCATTACAGCCACGGTTCAAAAGAGCTTTGGTCGCATGTTTTGGGAGTGTTTCTTCTGGATTAGTATGGGTCCTTTGGTTCCTTTAATTGGTCATATAACTGAAAATACGTATCATAATATCTTAGTTAATTATGCGATTCTCACGGTTAAGTCTCATGTGAAAAAGATCAAAAAAAAATTTTATTTTTAAGAAGATAACATACCTGTCCATACCGCAAAAGTCGCACTTTTCCTCATCAAATCCTCGAATGTTGAGTTGCTTTCCTGACTGGCGCAAAGTCCAGATATTAACCCTATAGAAAACATTTGATCATATATTGAAGTTAGAATTTGTAAGCGTGATTCCTAGCCATCAAGTGTTATGCAATTGGAGTAGTAGGTTAAGGAGGAATGGAATGTGGTACCTGTAAATTATTATCAAAATTTTATCAAGTCAATGCCACGTCGGGTTCAGGCCATTCTTGCTGCAAATGGAGGTCTAACGAAATATTGACCTGTAGTTCAATAAAATAAAAAAAATAAAGTTAATATGTTAATTGTCTTGTAATAAAATTTTCAAAACTGGCCAATACTTTTTATACCCCTATATGTTGCAGTATTTACCTAATGTCACTCTGAGTAATTTGCGAATCCAAATACATAGAGCTAAAAATATTCTTATGCTATTTAGAGAAAAAGGGTTAGGATAGATAGAATTAAGTTAGTCACTTGTAACGCGAATGATATTTCTAGATTAACCAATACCCAAATTCAAAATATTATAGATTATGTGAATCAGAAGCCTCAACTTGTTTTATTTCTTTTACCGCATTGCTAATCTCAGAATTCTTCATACAGATTTGAAATTATTTCATCTCGGGGAAGTTTTCTTGCTGGAAATGATCTATTACATAATCTGTAGGTGAGATAGATGAAAATTCTGTAGATATAAGTGGTATAATTTATTTCGGAATTCTAATATAGAAAAAGATTATGGGGTGTAGTTAGAAAAATAAATAGGTGTAAATAATTTTGTTAATTATAGATACAATATTCTTTGAAAATGTGAGAGCAAATAAATAACTTGATGCTAGGACTCTCATTTATGGCTTAGGATCTGAGAACTCCCTCCTCTTCGATAGCATCAATATTTCATTCACTTCTCTAGTATTTTCTGATTCATTATACATCAAAAATCATTAATAAAATTTTGCCCATTTCTATGAATTTACGCTTTTTACATGCAGTATTAAAAACATAAGTTTATTGCATAAAATAATTGATGTTTTACTTTATTGCATTACACAAATATTTGTTGAACCTCATTTACTCAAATTATATAACTTTGTCCATAAATTATAATCTAACCATATCTTGCTGATACATGATATCGTAGTATTTTAATTCATCTCCTACTTTTTCTTCCACCTCTAAAAAAACACCGTCTTTGCCTATCTTTGCACTAATGACTTTAACAATCTTAACATTGATTTCATCATTGAGTCTGATTTTACAGTCAACAAGGTGCGAAGCTTTGTTCAGTAAAGAAAGAGTCAACAACAATATCGATCACGTCATAAGTAGATTAAAACAAATACCTTTTTGGATAGCTTTTTATTACACTTATTTCCTTTTTTTGGAGAATGATCCAAGTCGTCAAAGTAAGACATAGATTTCAGATCTTTATTTACAAATTCTTGCAGACTATGAAAGGAGATGTTATTAGTTTCTATTATTTTGTTTTGTAAATAACAGCAACAAGATGCCAGCTTACACTTTGTCAAGCCATTCCTGGAATCTAACGCGAAATCCTTTTTCTTTTGTCATTCTCTCAATCCATTCCAAAGACAAATTGGCTCTTTCTTCTTCTTTCTCAAAGGCCCTATAGAAAGAGATACATCAGAAAATAGATAAAAGAAACAAAGTTGATAAATCTCTTATTTGATTGGATCAAAACCTCTGGCTTTATATTTTTCCAGATCCAAATATGTATCGCCATATATAGTAGTAGTTAAACAAGCCTCATATTTTTTATGTGCTTCTAGAGATTCTATATAGATGTCACTAATGTCTAGTTCTGTAAGGGTAAACTGTCAGTATATTAGCAAAGCAATAAGAAACTCACAAAAAATCTCACGCACTTTTGTCTTTCCCTGAAACTCAAGACATTTTAAAAAAATTTGAGACACAATTTGCTCTTTTTTGTTACACAGAAATTTGGTCAAGCTATTGAGTTACACAAATTTTAGCCAATAAAACTTGACCAAAAAACTGAAGCAAAATCTCTCACTTTTTTGATAATCAATTAGTCACAATTTTAAACTTTTGTGATCAAAACTTCTTTAAATAGTAAAATATTTTCATCCTGTATTCACACTTCACATTCCTAATGGTTCATACCATACGTAAAGTCTGTATTTGTGTTGGTCACTGAATCATACAATATGATTTAGATGCCTGCTAACCGATTCATTTAGCTCAAGCTCAAGATATTATAGTGAAGTTGTAAATATTCTTCAGAATGCAGGCTTTGATCGCATTCAATATAGTATATTTCGCCATAGGCATGATTGTACACTTGTGCATGTAGTAGATACAGTGGGTTTTATCAGAGTATTACGATGGGCAGACGGTGTCTTCCCAAATGGGACACCCCACATAAGAAGCATTCGACTTTCAATTCAGGATAAAGCATATATGGATTTAACGAACTATGCTCATGGAGGTCGTCGACTTCGTATTCTAAGATTTTGATCAGTAGGCATTAATATTATTTTATTATTTACTAAAATACCATAACGCTGTTAGTGATAATTCATTTGCGTCACTAGATGACTGCGCCAATTAATGAAGAATTAGAAATGGAAGAACTAATACTAGAACTTGTGATCAAACCAGTTAGAACTGAAAAAGTATTAAAAGCCCTTAAAAAGAGGTTGTTACCTGCCCCTATTGAACAACTAACGGAATTTAATATTTCAACTTATTTACAAAATCTATCATGTGGACTCTCGGTAGGACAAGCCGCATATGCTATCCCCAAATATCGTTCTGGTTTAGCTCGAGCTGTCAGGCGTTCAAGAGAAAGAGTTACTGATGAAACTAAGGAAGCCAATTTAGTAGAAAGTGATGATGAACCAACCTTAGCAGCGAAATGCACTTTGAGGATTGGACAAAAAGCTCAAACTGCAATTATTGATAGTGGAGCTGCTACCAATATCATAACCAGAGCCTTAGTAGAAAAACTAGGATATAAAATTAACTGACCCTCAAAAATGATAGTAGTAACAGCGAATAGTGCAAGGACTCGTTCCTTCAGAATTATCGACAATGTATCAGTAAAGATTGGAAAAATTAATGTATCCACTTCCTTTCAAGTACTCAAATTTAAAGATGAAATCCTTATACTTGGAAACGATTGGCTCAGAGTAACCAATGCTACTATGAGTTAGGAATAATCCATCCTTACTATTAAACGAGATGAAATTATCATAAAAATTCCTATTGCATTTACAAAAACAGCTAAAGTTGTAACTTAGGAAGCTGAGGATGAATATGAAAGTGAAGAATATGGGAACAAATATTTAAAAGAATATCCTATTTATTTATCTGACGATGTTGAATCAGAAGAATCAGAATTAGACGATGAGTTAGGATTCAACCCA